CTTAGCAGCAATGGCCACGGTCGCCAAACTGTGGAAAGAACCAAGATGCCCTTCAACGGACGAATGGATAAGGAAGATGTGGTCCATATACACTATGGAGTATTATGCCTCCATCAGAAAGGATGAATACCCCACTTTTGTAGCAACATGGATGGGACTGGAAGAGATTATGCTGAGTGAATTAAGTCAAGCAGAGAGAGTTAATTATCATATAGTTTCACTTATTTGTGGAGCTTAACAAATAGCATGGAGGACAAGGGGAGTTAGGAGAGGGGAGTTGGGGGAAATTGGAAGGGGAGGTGAACCACGAGAGACTATGGTCTCTGAAAAACAATCTGAGGGTTTTGAAGGGGCGGAGGGTGGGAGGTTGGGGGAACCAGGTGGTGGGTATTAGAGAGGGCACGGATTGCATGGAGCACTGGGTGTGGTGCAAAAACAATGAATACTGTTATGCTGAAAATAAATTTAAAAAAATTTGTTACAAAATAGTAAATAGCTTTCTTTTCAAATAAGAATCAGTTATAATGATAATCATCCATTATCCAGTGGTATTATTGGTCAGCACCATTATTAGGTACTTTATATACAGTATTTCACTTAATTTTCTTTTATACCCTCCAAATAGTTACTTATTATTCACCCATATAATAGTTGCACAGACTAGGCTTAGAGACCTTTATTAAATTTCCAGAGGCTATCCAGTTAGGAACTGGCAGAGCCAAGTAATGGACCCATCTCTGTCCATGATCAGAGCCTGCTTTTTCCTTCCATTAACTTGTGGCCCAGAATAATGGTGCATCCTCAGGCAGGAGCTTACCCGATGTTCTATTCACAATCCCTAGTGGTCATTATAGAGTCTTCTGAAGTTGTCCTATTTCCAATTCTTCACCAAAACTCTATCGTTTTTCCCTAATCTCTGCCCACCTTTCTGGGGAACATACAGTGTCTTTGCTTTAATGAGTTTGGATGAGCTACAACTTTGAAAGGGCAGGAGAAACCTACTTTGGAGCTGGAAGATGATTCATAATTCCAAAGTAAATAGTGCTGCCTTGTCCCCAGACACTGTGTACCCTGTTAGGAAACAGGCCTGTGGTGCAAAGAACAATCACTGGTTTTTAAGGTCAGGCTTTGTTTTTTCATTTGTTTTTACTGTTAAGAACACAGCTCATTCTTAGAGAATTTTCAAAAAGATCATTTGAACTAATGACTCTCAAACTATACTATATCCCCTGGGAGCTTATTGGAATAGATGCCTTGGCTTTCCCTCCCCAAAAGATTCAGGATCTATGGGGCAGGGTCCAACACACATACTTTAACCAGCTTCCTATAGTTCTGTTGTGTCATAGTGGAAATGCTGCATAAGTGGATCTTATACCTAGCCTGCATTTAAATACCTTTATAGTTTCCTAAGGTCAGAAATATCAAATCCAGCAAGTGCATGCCCACAAAAAAGGGTCTCAAACTCATGGTCCACAAATTAGATCTACTTTATCCCACAGATATAATTATGTTAGTTGACACAGTACAAAACATGATATTACTTTATTTGTACTTGGATGCCTTTTTTAGAAAGAGGATGCCTTCTTCAGTTGTCTCGGCTCTCACCCCCTTATTGTCCATACTTGCTACTTTACCCATTTATGTTACCTGCTGGGTCCCTGCAGTTAAGTGAATTTCCACCCTGGGTAAATAATTGGAGAGATAGGGGAGCAGAAAGGCCAAGTGATTTCCAAAGTGAGAACAAAGTTTGGTGTGCCGGTGAGCTGAGAGCTTGTATCATTGCTTAACCAAACTGCATGAATGTTTCCTATATCATGAAATAGAGCTTTCCTCTTTCAAATAACTTATGAAATCCCCTGTAGTCTGGGTGGCTGCAGCTCACAGACTCTGTATCTGTCTCTCTCTGCTAATGCTCCTTCTTCCTCTTTTTTACATTTGCTCTGCTGGAGACAAATATTTCATGCCTGTATTTTAGTGGTCAGCCCATCCCTCAAGTGCAATACACGGAAGAAGAAAAGAAAACATGGGGGACGGTATTCAGGACCCTGAAGTCCTTGTATAAAACCCATGCTTGCTATGAGCACAATCACATCTTCCCACTTCTGGAAAAGTACTGTGGCTTCCGTGAAGATAACATTCCACAGCTGGAAGAGGTTTCTCAATTTCTTCAGAGTAAGTCCACTTTAGGGACAAAAGGGGAGGAGGGGGAGGGAAGGGATTGGGAAGAAAGTAAATTGAGGCCAGTGTGAGTGTGTTTGTGGTAATGCATGCAGGTTAATTCTTGGAGAAACATTTTTCTGCTGTGTTCTGCCTCACCGCTAGCTTCTACGTTCGTCCACTCTCATCCAAGACAAGGCATCATGTGTGGGTTTTGCCATATCCATGTCTCTGAAAAGCACTTTTCCCCATACTCAGAGCCCCAGGTGCCCAGACAGGGCTCTCCTTATAGTTCCTGCTGTGTTATGAGATCTGCAATGTGCATTTGTGTAAGAAATGTGCTCTTTGTGGCAATGCCAAGAGCTCTTAACTCTAAGTCTGTGCATCCAACTGGTATGGATCTTGCTTTGACCCTCTCTATTTGGGGTAACCTGCCTCAGTTTAGTCATCTGTCAAATGGAGACTGTCTCTTAGGGAAGTTATGGGAATGAAATAAGACATTGCAAGTGAAAACATCCAGCATGGTGCTACTATATACAATAAGTGCTCAGTGAATTTGGGCTGAACTGGAATCTGAGTAACTCTGTGGGGAAATACATTATTGGGATGACTAGTCTCTGCACACCATTTCCAAGTGAGGTAAGTATATTCTTTTCTGCCAGGAGGCATTAATTCAGCAAAACTGAAATAAGACTATCAGCTAATGCACATTGGACATCTAGTATGTGTCAGGTAGAACTAAAGAAAGTAGGAAGACAGACCACAGCTTTACAGAAATGAAGAAGCTTCTATGCCTCTGAGCTATGTGGAGATGGTATGGTTGACTCTGGGGCAAGGGGCAGAGGAAATTATGTGGCAGGGAGAAAAGTGGCAGCTGGGATAGATTGGGGATGGGCTGGATGACATTTCAGGTCCCTTCTATTTGGACAGTCTCTACCTATCAGATAAAGAGGGGAATGAGAGGCCAAGCAGAGTCAGTTTTAGCCTGAAGGTCCAGGGAACATGGCACAGGGGCAAGGAGGTCCTAAAGACATTCTCTGGCCAATTATCCATGTTTCTATGGCCAATAGTGAGATAATAAAATAGTAATAATAGCAGCTGGGGAGTTATAGAGAAGTAACTAAGGAATAGACTTTGAAGCCAGACTGACTGTAGCTGTGACCTTGGACAAGATCTTTAACTCTTTGTTCTCAACTTTCCCATCTGTAAAGCGGAAATGATATGAATATCTACCTCATAGGGTTATTAGGAGAACTAGTTAGTATTTATAAAGTGTCTAGAACATATGATGTCTGACATATGGTGGGCAGTATATAGTGTTAGCTACCATCATCATCATCATCATCATCATCATCATCACCATTATCACTGTGATTATTATTCTCCTTCCAAGTTTGAAACAAACTGAGAGCCAGATATAGGAATCAGAGAGAGGATCAAAATATCAACTTTATTACTGATAAAACTACTTAGAGAATGTGGTATGGATGTACAAACAAAATGGATTTTCTAGTATTTCACCTCTGAATTATGTAACCTTTTCAGAGTATACACTGGTGAAGTGTATATTCTATTGCATGACCCAGAGCAGACCAGAATGTGCTCCTCTGTGGGCAGACAGTTATGAGAGAAAAGACCAAAGGGGTCAAATGGAGAATATCCATTTTCTCTTCCCAACTGCTCCAATCAGAGAAGTCCTTGCTCTTTCTGGGGTGTAGTGTGTGAAGGACAGTAGAGAAGCTAGATGTGTTCCTTTCATACTCTTTCCTTCTGGAAGTAGAATGAAAATTCCCTCCCTAGTCTAGAGACATGAGAAATAAGGAATAAATGTTTCATCCTAATAAACTATAATGAAAGGTAAATTTTTTAAATGCTCCAGTGTGCTAGGCTCTGTGATAAGTACATTATATTTATTAGTTTATTTGATTCTTGGAATAACCCTAGGAAGTATCTATCCACATTTTGCAGAGGAGGAAATGAGGCTCAGAGAAATGAAGTTACTTGACCCAAATTGCCCAACTATATAGGTGCAGAGATGTGAACCCAAGTCTACTTGACATCAATATCCCCGCTGCTAGACAGTTGGGAGTATTGCTTTCCTACCTAAAGGTCTTCAGGTGCCTCTGGCTCTGCCATGATAGGCTTTGAGTTTTCTTTCTCTGCTTTGCAGGTTGCACTGGATTCCGCCTCCGACCTGTGGCTGGCCTGCTTTCCTCCCGGGATTTCTTGGGTGGCCTGGCCTTCCGAGTCTTCCACTGCACTCAGTACATCAGACATGGGTCCAAACCCATGTATACACCTGAACCGTGAGTGTTCTGCTCCTGCTGCTAGTATCCAACCACAGTGAGTGCCATTTCTCACTGCTCCAGGATGAGGTTTGGGTTCATCAAGGGCGATCCACAGATCATTTTCTGGATGGTTTGATGTTAGCACAAAGAGAGAGACCATCTCTCTTGGGTATTTTCTCTGTCCAATAGATCATACTGATTGGAGATTTGGGCATCTTGTGAACCACACATTCAGATCTCCCTGGGTCATGGGAATAAGAAGTCACAGTCAAGCTCCAAAGGGATTTTAAGAGTCAAAACTATGATGTCCCCAATGAGAACAGGAACAAGTGGTGGCCAAAGTATCTCAGTACTTCCAGAATATACATCTAGATGATTCTAATATTTTTATGTCTAGATGTGTCTTGTCTAAAGGTAGAGAATGGCTGGCCACCATGTCCCTTATGTTGGCATTTAGCCATCTTCTTAATCAAATAGAACTTACTCAATTTATACAAAAAGTTAGCAGCCTGTCCACAAAGTTTATAACTACAAATCAGAAAAGACCTATTCCTCATGAACCTGACACATAATGTATTAAATAAATGTAAATTTTCTTCTCTGAATGACTGTTGCCCCCCCTTTAAAATAAGAAAATAATAGCACTATTTTTAATTTAATTTTTGTTTCTTATGGGGAATAACTGAGCACATTTCATCTGCTCAAGATGCCCAGGATGTCAATACCAAGATGAAGACTTGGGATAGGAAGTGCTCATGACCCACAACATGCTCAGGTGTATAGGAGAAAGTCCAAAGGAATATTGGCTCTTCTGTTCTGCTTCTGTACTGAGTGTACACCTAAGACCCTCTGGCTGTTGTTCTCTGACTTGCCCCCTACTTTTCTTTCCTTCCTCCTTTTCTTTTATACCTTGCCTCATCTGTTCCCAAGCTTTACATACCACTTATTGCTGGGAATGAGGTCTTAAACTGTAATGGCTCACTTCCTTTCTACTTGTCCACTTCTCATGTAGAAAAACTGAGTCTCACTTGGCTTATAACCCTCTTTACCTCCAAGCTCTGTGCTTTCTCTCTTTCAGTGACATCTGCCATGAACTGTTGGGACACGTACCCTTGTTTTCAGATCGCAGCTTTGCTCAGTTTTCCCAGGTGAGGAATGGATGCTTTTGGTCTTTTAATTATAGGATTGAGACCTAGATTGCTCAAGTGAATTGAGTCTATGGAGGGTCCCTTGTGTTCTCTGCAAGAGTGGAAACCAGATACTGTTCTGTGATCCCACCAGAGATGGGCATATGGTCCCATGGAGATGGCTAAATACCCATTCCAGGGATCACAACATGGGGGTAGTGAGCCACTCATCCTCTGAATTATATATGTGCTGTTGAATTTGCTAATCTCACCAGGTTTAGTTTAAGAGCATTTTCATCCAAGAAAGCCTGCCTGATCCCCACATAGAAGTAACCTTACCTTCTTCCAAGTTCTCCTGGCACCTTTCCCCTCCTCTTTAGGGCCTTGCCATTTCCAACCTTGTCAGGCAGTTGTTTTTGTATATGCTTTAATTAAATAAGATAATATTTGCTGAGAATCCAATTCCAATAACCCAGCTCCTAGTTGGCAAGAACTGATGTGTCAAATGTTTTGCCATTATCATCAAAGCAACAAACTAAGCCTTGATTCCTCTATCACAGTGGTGAGCTTTTTACATGAGAGAAAGAATCCTAGTAATCCCTTCAGAGCACTGAGAGGCTAAGCCATATTTGGGTAGCTGGGATCATGGGAAAGTTGATACATCCCACCCTGCCATCAACCAGCTGTGTGACCTATGTGCATCAGTCTGCACAAATGAGAATCAATACAAAGCTTTGACTGCCAATAATCTTCCTCATAGGGAAGGATAAATATCAAATGGAATGAGTCATAAGCAAATACTGCACCAAACATGAATTTCAGAGTAATGGGATTGTGTGTGAATTTTATGTCTTTTCCCTCAGCTGGAAGAAATAAATACTTTCACTGTTGATTGAAGAGTTACCACTTAATATCTGAAACAAATAAAGAAAAAAAACTTGCTTTTGTGTGGGGTTTAGGGAACTGTGGTGTTTAGAGATTGTTGGACTTTTATGAGTTGAGTCTGGATTAGCTGAACTTAACTTGTAAGTATCACCATTTGACCGAGGCTATTGTTGACTGGCTAACTTTCAGAAGCATGGTTCCTGCTGTCAATAGGTCACTGATTGCTTGGAACAACTTTAAAACTGGGGTTTCTTCCTCTGGCCAAAGAACAATCAGTGATTTCTTTAGAGAATAGGAACTTTTTATTCTCACTACCAGAAGCTATTCTGCTCAGTCAGAGGTTAAGTGACAATCCTCCTTACGCCATTTCCATTTGGGGGGGTTCCCCAGGGGAGTGGACAATTACCCGAGTCAACAGAGAGATGCTACTGGCCCTAAGTGTCACATGGCTCCAACTTATACCTGGACAGTCCCAAGGGAGGTGTAATTTTGAAAGTTCCCTGAGCAAATTCTTTTTGATCTAAAAGGAGGATTTGCTTCCCACTAGAGTGCAAGAAGGGATGGGGATTAAGCATAGGGAAATCTTGGGACACTTTTTTAGGCAAGCTTTGGGCTCACAAAGAATGGTGACCATGAGAACAGAGCACTGTTTCAGTGGCTTCTGTTAGACTGTGGCATGTCTGGACAGGACGGATGGACAGAGATGGGGAGAGGGACAAGAAAGGAGAGCCAAGCTGTCTGAATTTAGTTCATTCTACCTCAGCATTTTCTCAGCATGCAGTATGGGCCAGGCTCTGAGTTTGGCCCAGAGATGAAGACCATGTGGCCTCTTGCTTTAAAGTAAGCCCAATCCTTAGTCCTTCTCTGTCTACCTCAATTCTTTTGGTTATCTCACCCAAACTCACTGTGTTAAATATCATCTCTGTCCTGATGACGAGCACATTTGTAACTTCAGTCCAGAACTTCAATCCCCAAACTCAGACTTATGTATCCAAGAACCTATTCAATTTCTCCACTTGGGTGTCTATTAGACATCTATATTCATCCTTTCCAAAACTGAATTCCTGATCTTCTTCTCCAAACCTTCTCCAACCACAGCCTTCCCTGTGTTAGTTCATGATAACTCTATCCTTTCAGTTGCTCAAACCAAAAGCACTTAGGGGACATTATTAGCTTCTTTCTCTCTCAAATACCCATAACTAATCTTTCTGAAAGTTGTATGTATTTTGCCTTCAAAATATGTGTAAAATCTGACCACTGTCGATTATTTCCACTGCTGTCAAGCTGGTCTCAGCCATAATTGTTTCTCACCCTGGGGACTGTGGTAGCTTCTTAAGGGTCTGTCTCTACTCTCGACCCCCTACCATCTGTTCTCACATAGCAGCCAGAGTAAATCTTGGATGACATAAATCAGATCTTGCTGCTTTTTTGCTCAAAACCTTGCAGTGACTACCATTTCACTGAAAATAAAATCCGAAACCCTAAAATGCCAAAAAAGTTTTATATGACTGAGTCCCAGATCCCTCTTTGATACCACCTGCCTCTCTCCCCACCCTTATTCTGTTCTAGCCATACTGGTCCCTCCCTGTTAATTGAACCTACTGACATTTCTCCTCCTTAGAGAGCATTTTCATGGGCTATACATGTGATCTATACAATGCTTTTCCCTCACATGTCAGCAGAGCCAACAACCTCACTTCCGTCAAGTTTTTGTTCAAATATCACCTTCTCAGTGATGTTTGCTCTGAAGCTATTTTTAAAATTGCAGCCTCTCTGTGTTCTCCTGGCATTTCCACTCACCCTTGTCCCTTTCTTCTTTTGTTTCTTCTTTTCAAATAACATATTCCTTCTAATATACCTATGTATATGTTTATTATTTATTGTCTGCCTTTAATGTAAACACCATGAGGTCTAGGATCTCTTTTGATTCTGTACACTGCCAACCACATAGAAGACATTTAGTAAACATTTTGGAATGAATAAATGCATATAGTAGGGAAAGCAAATATATTTATTTGTGTATATATACTCTGTCTAATACAAAGCAAGCTGGAGCAAATGTTATAAAAGAGACAAAGACAAAGAGACCACTAGGGGAATCCTGTAATTGGAGCTGGAATGAGAAGTGGTCCATAGCATTTCAGACTCTCTAGCTGGTATTTACCTGTGTGGATGCCAAGCATTTCTCTGTAATTCTCCTGTGGTGTCTTGAGGATACTTGATTAAGACACTCATCTTGTATTCCATGAATGTTCTGCTTGAGCTGTGGGAGAATAACCACTGAGTTGGAATCAAGCAATGAAGCTTTAGACATAACCTACTGTGTGATCTTGAGTAGGTCACCTCCCTTCTCTGTGCCTCACTTTTCTCATTTGTAAAGTAAATATAAAGGACCAAGTGACGAAGTAAGGTTTCCTGCTCTAGGGATCTATAATTCTATGATGTGTGGCTAGACAAGACTTAACAGAATAATCAGGGTCTATCTGGGCCCTTCTGAAGGCTTCAGGTCACCCATCACCTTCCTGTGCTGTAGTGCAAGGTGGGAGCTGAGGGTGAAGTTTTAAGTTATGCAGACCCCAGCCATGCCAGTGACTCTGTTTCTCTACAATTACAGGAAATTGGCCTTGCCTCTCTGGGTGCCCCTGATGAGTACATTGAGAAACTCGCCACAGTAAGTTCCTTCTGCCTCTAATGGATAGTGAGAGTGCTATAGGCTAGAGCCCTCAGGTCTTCAAAACTTCAATCCCCCCCCCCCCCCCGAAAGCCAGGTCATTTGGGGGGAAATATCAGAATGTGCTGACTTACATTCACACAAGTAAAATTTCACATTTTGATTTTTTCTTAATGGTCTGATGTTGAAATCAGCTGCATGCAAATGTTTACATGTAATTTTAAACAAAGTATCTTAAACACGAATGGGCTATAATGATAGCTTTTGAGAATCTTTGGGCATAAAGTGTGCGTGTGGTAGAGGAATAGCCTGTATTCATAGCTTTGAAGAGGAAATATTTACACCCCTCTTTTGCCCTGGAGCCAGCATTTGGATCTTTCCTTTATTAGACACAGGTGGAAATGGGGGTGGGCTTTCCTTGTCTTATCAAACACTTCCCTCTCTCCAGTGAATGTGATGACAGTCATGGATTGAAGCGTGGAATCAGCAACTCTGCGCAGCAGGGGGTTTTCTTCCTACAGACTCCTTTCCAACTTGAGTTTATCCCTCCCCAACATCTGAGTCACATTCCTTACAATTTGATGTGTATCAGTTTAGAAGTTTATGAATTCAGTTTATCCGAAGGGCAAAAATTTCCAGAAGTTTCTTTCTCACTGAGCTGCTGCTCTGAGCCCCTGGACAAGTGGCTTTTGCTTCCTCATCTCTAAAAATGGTTACAGTAGTTTATATTCTGCCCACCTAAAAAGTATATCATAACGATCTGAAGAGTTACACGTGTGTGAACATGGATTTTTAAATGTCAGATTCTATATAGATGCAAGAAGCAGCTTCTCATTTGTAGGAAGAAAACAAACTCAGAACTCAGAGCATTATGTTATCTGCTATGACAATGATAAGAGTACTTATCGCCAACCTAAATTCTCAAAAAACAAAAACAAAAACAAAAACCTTACTATTGAATACTGGGCTGGGAATAGCTCTAGGCTCTTGCTCTGACTTTGATTTGCTGTGTAAATAGATGTATATTGCTTGACCTCCCTGGGCTGAAAACACCTCATCTGTACATGAGGAGGTCTATGTAGGACTAAGGTCTACAGAGGACTAAGCTTACAAACTTCACATTCTGTAGTGCAATAAACAGAGTTAACTAGTAAGCCATCCCTAATTCTCCAAGACCATGACTGTCTGCAGCAGCTAACTGGACCCAAGGTTTCCTTGGCCCTGGTCAGTAAAGTTATGCCAAAATTCCAGGATCACCTTCCACAGGCCAGGCATCTAGGACATGTTGGACTGGGAGCTGTTTAAAGAAAGGGCTTGGTTATTTGAGGAGGATAAGTGTAATTCTTGGCAGTACATCAGAACCCGCCCAGGTTTTAGCATGGATGGCAGGATGCCCTCAATGATTTTATCACTACCCAATCTCCTACCTCCCATGACTGAGCTTGATGGGATTGCATGGTAAGTCTGGCCAACTAAACGGAACATCTCATTCTACTTAATGCCACAGAGAACAAAGCAAAAGGGGTTGAAGAGTTCCTGTCATTTAGAGTTACCTGTTGGTGATATCTTCTTGGGGCTTCCTCAGCACTCCCTCTCTGCTTCCTATCACTTCTTACATTCAGCCAACTCTTGATTCAAGCAGTGACTGGATATAGTGAGACATAGAACACAGAGAAGTGACCCCAGGTCATGGTGATTCAGAGAAGAGACCTGTACAAACTCCCACCTGGACAGTCCTGTCCTTAGCCCTGGGGCATCTGCTGCCTTTCGCTTCCTTGGGGTGTACTCTCAACTTCACATTCCATTCCAGATTTACTGGTTTACTGTGGAGTTTGGCCTCTGCAAACAAGGAGACTCCATAAAGGCCTATGGTGCTGGGCTCCTGTCATCTTTTGGTGAATTACAGGTATGACCCCATTAATATCCATTTTGAGATTCAACCTAGGGGTTAATCCTCAAGTAATTGGTACCTTAGCAGCTATGATTTGCTCATGGCTTTGGGTGTTAGATATAGAAATTGAACTGCAAGTACACAGGTCTACAAAACAGAGGGGCCTCCAGATCCCAGGGCTGACCTATGCATACAGAAGTATGTAAATCCTTGTACTTGGCTCTTACATCCTCTTTTGATCATGGCTAGAGGGAATTACTCCTTTCTATCTGGACTGTAGGTTTTAAGATAGGCTATGAGGGTAGGATCTAGTGTATGGGAAATAATTTAGTTTAATGCATTTGGTGGGGGGTGTGGAAGGAGTCAGGATGCGATAGGAGAAGGTACACAAATAACCAATGGAGGCAACAAGAACAACTGACCCAGACTTACCTATGAAAACTTTCCCCTTTCTACCTGCAGTACTGTTTGTCTGGCAAGCCAAAACTCCTCCCCCTGGAGTTGGAGAAGACAGCCACCCAGGAGTACACTGTCACAGAGTTCCAGCCCCTCTATTATGTGGCTGAGAGTTTTAATGATGCAAAGGAGAAAGTGAGGTGAGGTGGTGACCAAGGTGGGTCAGAAGAACTTCGGGTCTCCTGATTTGGTCTGGTGCCATTGATCTGTGGGTGGTTGTCCAGGAGAATGGACTCCAATGCTTATAATAAGAGTGTGCAGCAGACAGAGCCTCCCCACCCTTGTTCCTTTTCACTTTCTGTTTGGGAGGGGTTCCTTAGTGGGACACGATTTCACAGATTATTGTCTGGACATGTTGACCTATGCAGACAATTCTGCCACTGGATCTTTGTTTTAATGCAGCCACTAAGTCCAGGCACTGAATTCCCCTGTATACAGAGTAGCCACGAAGGCCCCCAACAAATCACTCCTAGGATTCTCCTAACCTGGGGGAGTCACTTTATTGTTCCAATACCTGCATAATTCACCCCCTCAGCTCCTTCAAATCTTCACTATCATTTAACCTTCTCAGTGTGTCTTTCTCTAACTGACTTACTTATAATCCCTACCCATCCCCATCCCCACATTCCTTGCCCTCTTCTGCAGTATATTTTTCCCCTTAGCACCTGCTAATGTTAGATATATGACATGATTTAAGATTGATTTGGGTAGGAATTTTTGTCCTTTCTGTTTTCCTGTTCTTTCCTCAGTCTTTGGAAGAGTGTCTGATGCATAATGATCATGCAATAAGTTAATAGGCAAACACTTCAATTGCAGAGGCAGTCTAGCAAAAGGCTGATAGAGATGGAAAGCTAGCAAGACTCAGATTCTCAGCCCTCTCAGCTGACAGACCTATCTATAATCTGCTCGAGTGACTCTCCTCCCAGCAAGAGACAGACCAGGCAGAGGCTCCACCTAGACATGGCTATCCTGATAGTCGGTGTTTCTTTTGTTTTATATCTTATCCATGAGGGATGATAGACATAGATATACAGGTTTCTGGGATCCCATAAAGCTGGGTATGCCAGCTTCCCCTGCATTGGGCTTAGGTGATGGAAGGTAACATTCTTGTCCATAAGTCCACATGGTTTGGCCCAAGATGTCTCCTTTCCTCCTTTCTCCCCAGGGCCTTCAGGCTATTTCAGTTATTCATTTCTAATTATTTCCTAAATCTCCATCCCCTGCTGGGAGCATAGCCTTCCTCTAGCCCCTAAGGGTTCCTCTCTGCCATTTCTGGGACCCTTTGGGGGTTATGTATTTCAGTGGTTTTGTGCATTACCCCACCTGGGTGGTAAGAAGAAGAAGAAGAAGAATCAGTAGCAGCAGCAAGTTAAATACCTAACACTTACTATGGACTAAACACTGTTCTAAGTGTTTTTCATGTATTGATTCATTTACTCTTCAGATAAGACTATGAAGTTTGCAGGTGGTGTTCAGAAGCATAGAAGGGGTAAGAGACTCACCCAGGGTTATAAAGCTGGTAAGGGGCTGACCCAGGGTTTGGACCCAGGAAGTGGGGCTCAGAGACAGTACTCATAACCTCTCTGTCAAACCAAGGTCACATTTAAGTGGGACCTCCTGGTGAGGACTTTCTTACCCAGGAAGTGATCAGTCCCAGACCAACAGAGAAGAGCTTGTCAGAACCTAGATTTCTTGGGCCTTAGAAATCCCACCCACTCTGTCAGTGCCCACAGCCCAGAGGAGACTACCACACAAACCCCATCCTGCTGAGTGGTTAACTCACAGAGTCAAAGGGATTGCTGAAAAACAGGGTTCAGAAAAGGAAGGGATTCTCTCAAAGTCTCCCAGCTAAGAGAAACCACTTTTAACCATTTTCAGTTTCAAAATTCAAGTTCTAGGTAGAAAGAAACACACTGAGCGTGATTGTGTGCCCCCTCCCTGTCTGGAGGAGAGGTGGGCCCTGAGACTGACTGCCTAGGTGAAGCACTTCTAATGGTATAGAGGCAGATTTTCCAAAATAAAGATGAGGCAAACTATGGGAATAAGAGGGAAGAGGCTCAGAGCGGGCCAAATCACAGACATGCATTACAAGCTTCATGTCACCAGTGGGGTTGAGAAAGCTCTTTTCAGAGAAGCAGCTGTAGAAAGACATACTTAACCATTTGTTCTTCTGGAGTCTCAGTCACTAATGAAAGAGAACAGCTAACACTCATGTAGGATTTACTTTATACTATAAGTGCACTTGCCATGAACCTCTCAGGTAGTACTGTTCTTGTTCCACATTTATAGAGGAATGAAGACACCAAGGTGCAGCCCATAAGGGCTGTCATTGACGGAAGCAAGGTTTGAGCCCAGTGTCTGGTTCTAGAACTTGGGTTTCCAGCCACTAGGATCCACCACTCTTGGCAAACTTGGAGAGAGCCCAGTAGTTTCCTTTACAGTTGTCTTCTCAGTATGGTAGCTTTGACTCTTACCAGAAGCCAAATTAGAAATATCATTTCTGATGCCATTGCATTTTATAGGCTACATGGGGATATCTTACTAGTTGCATTGCTTGATGTCCCTCATAAGGCCCTCCTGGTACATTCCTCCAAGACCCAGATGTAATGAATGCATCAAGAAAGCAAATAAGTGAAGAGCACAGGCCAGAGTCAGACTACCTGGGTCCATTTTCAGTTGCACAATTTATTGCCAGTATGATTTGGTAGTCATTGAATCTCCCCAAGCTTTAGTTTTCTCATCAGTAAAATACGGATAGTAATAGTACCTTCTTCTATGATTTGTATGAAGATTAAATTAGGGATAATAGTTGTAAAGAGAATAGCACAATTATGACTTCACAGAGTTCTTGGTACATAAATGGCACTCAATTCATGTTAAATTTCATTTATAACATAGTGTTTTCTTCCATTCTTGAGAGCTGTGTTTCCCTCCTTGCATTGATTTCCAAGCATCTCAGAGCTTATTTCTTTCTATAGCATTCTTTGTTTAGATTTACTTGCTTTTTTGATTTTATTTAATGGTAAGAATTTTGGCTTTAATGTCTTCTGTGCTTTTATTTTGATATCTCTTTTTTGGAGGTAGGTAACTAAATAAATATGTACCAAAGTGTGTTTGTATATACACCTAGACACATACATAGCACACGAAGTCTACCCAAGAGGATCTCACTAAAATTCCATTTCTCTTTTCAGCCTGGTTTCTAAAACCCTTGGTCTAGTGAGATTGAAGTGAAATTCCACTGAGAAATCTTTTTTAGAATTATTTTCCCCTGAATTATGCCCTTTACTAAGCTCTGTGGATTTGGTTTCAGGAACTTTGCTGCTACAATCCCACGGCCCTTCTCAGTTCGTTATGACCCATACACTCAAAGGATTGAGGTCTTGGACAATACAGAGCAGCTTAAGATTTTGGCCGACTCCATCAACAGTAAGTAACTCACACCCCAGGAGGCCACTCTCTTTACCAGAAATAGAGAGTTGGATTTTTCTTACCCTCACCATTGGAACAATAGGAAATTTATCAAATATTGAATTAAGGAGAAAAGCAACTCCAGGTGAGCCATTTGTTTGTCAAGGGAGAAAAGCTTGGCAAAAAGGCCAGAATTGCTTTGAGTGTCTTTTCTTCTTTGATTTTCCTAGATTCCATGCTACTCCCAGCACCACACCAGCTCTCCACCCTGGCTTTTCCCTGCCATGTTCCTCTTTCTTCTTTGCCTCTGTACTCTCTTACCTCTAAGTGCCCAGTGGATATTGCTGTGCCTGGAACTTTAGCCCCTATAAGACGGATTCTAGCTACTTTATTGACCATCTAGTGGCTCATCCATGGGGCAACCACTCTTCCAGGACAGTGAGGATATTATAATAGTTACTCATAAACAAAGTGGAGTGTTACATTGCTTTTCACTGGATCCTCTTTCCAGTGCTTCAAACTCCCCTCCAGCAACACCGACCAGCTTTCACTTCTCCTCCTTCCTCCTAGCTTTTGGTCTTTGCTTATGCAGGTCTTTATGTTTAAAATGCTTTCAAAAAAAAAAATGCTCTCATGCCCATTCTCATTTAGAGGTCCCCAATTCCAGTTCATCTTTTAAGTCTTTCATAGATATATCATGGGAAGACTAGTTTGAGTGTCCTTCTTCTGTCTTGGCATTCCCACAGGTTCCTCTCTCAGAACACATATCACTATATTGTTTTGTAATTGTTTACTTGTCTCACTTCTGAACAAGACCCAAGTAGAGAACCAGGTTGGGTTTGCCGTCAATCCCTGGTACCTAGCCCTAGTTCTAAAAAAGTTATATTAGGTCCTCAATATTTATTAAATGGATGAATGAAACCACCAAATGGGTAAACAGCCTAAAGGGAGGAATTCTAGGTCAAGTAGAATTTCCTACCTTATGTAACAATAACGAAGTCCTAAAAGGCAGGTGGGCTTGAAGTATCGCTCTAATACTCCACTGAAATTGCTTGTCCATCTCCAGGGCCCCTTCCACTTCTTTGAAGTATATTTGTTCCTATGGACCCTTGGTCTATGCATGAATGGGAGCGGCTCCATTGTAGTCCAATGGTCTAGCAATCTAGGCTGATTTATCTGCTTAGACTATGCATTCTCGAACCTAGTGTACATCAGAATCATTTGGAGAGCTAGTTAAAAATTAACAATCCTGACTGATAGTCCCAGACTAAATTTACTAAAATTGTGATAAGTCTTGGGACTTTGTATTTGTAATAAGGCTCTATGTGATTCTGACACAGGAGGTTCTTGTGAACCACACTTTTAGGTTTCATAGCTTAAGTCCTTACAAATATCTATAGATGGTCCTATAAAAGAAAAAGAGAGAAAATTGTTAACTCCTTCCATGGAAAAAGGAAGCTAATTACATTAAAACTTGTAAGTCCTTATGGTATAACTGCCCAAATCATATCACCATAACTAATCTGTAAGCTCCTTAAAGGTTGGGATGGTACCCAACATATCTATACATCCCATTGATCCCCTAATGTGTTACACATTGTAGAAATTTAAAGTGTGCTTTCTCATGATATGAGTGGCCCATTTTTTTTTTCTTTGTAGGTGAAGTTGGAATCCTTTGTAGTGCCCTCCAGAAAATAAAGTGAAACCATGGACAAAACCTGTCAACTGAGAATCTGTTGATAGAAATCTGTTGATGGAAATTTCATTTCATCTGAAAAAGTTTGAAAAGTAAACCTTAATTTGAATTGACAGCCTTAAATCTTTTTTGGAACAAGATGGAGGATGAACAAATAAATCAAAATAACTTGAAATGACAGCATATTAATGCATATCCAAAAGCATAATCTTCTGGGGTCATCTTTGATTTAGAGATGACAATCCCATACTCTCAATTCAGTTAAAGTCAATAATCTGTCACCTTTCATCAACATTAATTAAAATTGGGAACTGATTTACTCAAGCTTCATATATGCTTTTGTTATTGACCATAGAGAATTCCTAAAGGAATACATATCACTCAATATAAAACACAAGCCTCTTATTAGAATTGAATTTGTTGATTTAATATAAATTTATCTTACAAAAGTCATTTTCTGTTTCAGTAAACTATAATTCTAATTATTGTTGTGTTTTACTCATGTAATTTCCTTTAATTCAAGAGCTCATTAAAATAGTTATAAATATTGAAGTTCATAACATAATATTGAAACACTTCTGTGTATTTTATTGTAATCATAAATACTGCCATGGAAGGTAATATAAGTCCTCACCTGACTCCCACAACTTTCAATATCATTTTCCAATTAATTGTCAACTTTTTTGTAGATATTTTGTAGACACATGTGATGCAACAGATGTTAACTGAAGGTTTGGCTGGTAGATATTCAATAAATACTCAGAGAAAGAATAATGGAATATATTATTAAATAGCAAATCCTCAACAAAAGTGAGAATTTTAGTTATGTTTAAAAAAGTCTAGGGGTTAGAAAATTTTAGTTTCAAATATTTCTTGGAAGGAAATATTCCTCTCCATTGTCTTAGAAATACATTAGCTGGATAACCTTGCGGCATGAAAAAAATGATCAGTCTCAGATTTCCAACCCATCACAGAGTTCACTGTGATAATCTAAGTTATGTCTGGATAGTCAACAGACTTTGATTTCTGTTGGCTGTACATTTTACACAAATGCATGACTATCTGAGAAACAGTAGGAAAAATTACAGCATCTTTAAAGCTATGCTTTGAAATTTTCACACCACCTTATCATTTTACTTTGGAAGTAGTTAGATCTCAGAGGACTTGCATAGTATTTGTTCATGGGTGATTCTCAGACCAGCTGTATCATCATCAACAATAAATCCTGGGCACATCCCAGCTCTATCCAGCCAGAATATCTGGAGATGGACCACAGAGACCTGCATCTTTCAGTACCTCAGGTGTTTTTTTGTTTTTGCTTTTGTTTTTGTTTTTTAATGCCCAGCCAAGTCTATTGGTGCATTAAGTTTGAGAGAACTTTACTTCTGGTGGCCAGTTCTGCCAATTGCCAATTATGTCACTTTGCATAATTTACTTTGGATCTCAGTTTTACTTGAACCATAAAGGAGTTTAACTGGATGAATCAAGGTTTCTTCCAGCCTTGAAATACAATTCAAATGCTGACATGTGTCTTTAAACTGATGTCCCTGACCCACTAACAGTGTGTAATAATACCAGCCCAACTATGCTACCTGGGTGGAAAGATCAATTTGGTCTGATTGTGTCTGGGATCTCATTGCTTTGAATTTGGGTTTTCACATCTGTATTTATTCCTCATGCCTCTGTAGAACCCACTGACAAATGCTGATTCTAAAAGTGGAAATGTTCTTTTATCTGTTTCTTGAGACCCCAAACACCTTGCAAAGGGACTATTTTGATAAATATTTCTTTAGTTTATATTAAGTTCTTGATTTTGGAACTAAAATATTTTATAGTATTTTAGACTGGATATTTTATTTTGTAGTGCTTCTTAGTCTTACTGAAAATAATTTAGTGTGTTTGAAATTAAAACTTAGGTTTAGGTTGCAATTTTGCAGAAAAAAATTACATACTGACTAGAAGATAACCTTTGATTTTTTAAGTAATGTGTTACTCAGTACTTCGCTCTTTTTATCTGGATGTAAAAACCCAACCTAGAGCAATGGATTCAACATATTTTCATGTGTTAGTATTATTATCTGTTTAATATTCAGTAAATGAGCTGCTTTTTAGAAAAAATAGTAATGCTTTACTGATAACTAGCCAATTGCATCTAAAAAAGAGAAATACATATAAACATTTTACATTTTTAGTATTAGTGTTCAATAAGTTTCTAAAAGGATCAATTTAAATTTTAATTCTAGGTTCCTAAATTATATAGCTTAACTGTTTATCAAAGAATTTAACACTAAAATGTCAACTTCATAAAACATGAAGCTTGCCTGTCTTCACCTCTAAAAGCCTTACCATATAGTGCATAGTAGGTGTTTAATAATCTTTAAAAAATTTCTGAGTGAGGTGAATCATAGGGCATGTAGTGAAGAGTGTCTCTCACAAATAAGCTATTTTGAAAGAAAAAGTTGAGAAACAACTAAATTTGCGATCTTCCCTTTTAAATGCTGTAGAACATTTTGCATCTTAATGTAATTTATGATTAAAAAAGATACTATGCCTTAAGAATAGATCATGGCTAGGTAATTTGTGTTTATACTGCTTGAACAATAACTGACATATGAAAATGCTTAATAAATGTTTGTTAATAAAGGAACAAAATTGCATCAATAAAATGTTTCAGTTATCCATGGTGGGGCTGAAATGATCATAAAGCAATGAGTGATTTGCCTAATGACTGCAAAAAATTATAGAGGAGACAAAATAGGAAAGACTATGAAAATGAACTCTGTAAAGAAAAGAGGAAAAAAAATGATCAGAGTTTCTTTCCAGTGGAGTGTGAACCCACCCTACCCTCACCATACACACAAGATCCCTGTCTTTTAATAGCTTTCTTGTGCAGTTTCAAAAACTATAAGCAGTAGTAGACTTGATATATGCTAGTAATGGCTCTAATATTTTTTGTGCTTTGAATTTTCTCATTTATAATCTTAACATTTAATTCTGCTAGCTCCAAGAAACAGTTTACCTTCTCATGTGTGAATAAATTTAGAGTGGTAAGTAATTATAGAGAAGATCGAATCTAGCCCTCTAGTATATACATACAACTCTTCTCTACAATATGATTTATAGTGGTTCAGGGTTGTTCTTCAACAATGCTCCTTTGTATGTTTCTTTCACACTGTTTCTTTTATGACAACAGTCTTTAAGTAAGAGAACATTCATGGGGGAAAAAGGCAAAAGATGTACTTCCCTGAGTCCTGCGATCAAGCCCCGCATGGGGCTCTGTGCTCAGTGCAGAGTCTGTTTGGGATTCTTTATCCCTTTTCTTTAGTCCCTCCCCTTGCATGCTCTCTCTCTAAAATAAATAAATAATTTTTGTAAAAAAAGATGTGCCTCCCTGAAAGATGAATGGATTTCTTAAGTCTCCAATTTGAAGATGTTACTACAGGGAGCAAACACCTCCTTATTTTCTAGTTTGCCTAAATAGAGAAAAGATAAATAATTATAGCTTGAACCACAGCTTTTTTTTTTCTCATATCATTCTTTGGAGATAGGTGATGTCTAAAGAAAATAAGCATATCAGTATCCTCTATTGAGTTTATTAAAATTGGTGCATACTTTGGATGTTTATGATTTACTCTTCCTAGAAGTAAATTAAGGAAGATCTACTTAAAAAGAAATATACTTAGTCCTCCCTGAGGTCTCTTTATTCCTAAAGTTTCTCAAAGAAATATCGGCTGCAGCCTGTCCTTTTATGGAATCACCTTGCAAATGGAGAGGGTTGTGACAAAGGGCAGATTTCCACTATTGCTTCTGAGTGGTCAGGAGAGAGTGGAGTTTGGATTTAGAAAAGAGGGATTAGGAATGCATCTTCATTTGTGTCTTTGAGTTTTTCTCTTATGTCTCTAAAGTGTGGGTTTTGGGGGTTTTTATTTTTTTGTTTTATTTTATTTTATTTTTTTGAGAAATCACTCATCCTATCACACCAAACATACACACACACACACACACACACACACACACCATCCCTTTGACCACCAAGAAGCCACAAGATGATTTGGAACTGAGCTGAAGACTCCACCAAAATAGGCACAGAGCAGCTGGCCTTTCCCATAAGCCTTTACCCACCCTGTTTGTGGGAGAATATATGTCAAAGCCATTCTTTGGAGGTCTTCAGGGATTGGCACCACCCAGGAGTAGAGAATCAGCCTAGAACAAAGGCATTAATTGCAAAGGGTAACTGTTGGACTATGAAGGCTTTCTATCTCCTCCAGGGTCCTAATACTGCTCTCTGCCACGAGCCCTGAAGCTGTGATGCCCGATGAGCTCCATTTCCTTGGCCTAACAAAAAGTCAGATTTTGGATGGGGAAGGAGAAAACAATCTTTCCAAAAGTATCCATTCCCTAAATGTCCTTGGGAAACTCAGAGAGACAAGAGGTTCTGTGTTGAGTCCCTCTTGGGGGAAAAATTGCTTTCTAGAGCAGAGAGCAGTCTGATTAGATTAGATTGAGATTAGAATATAGTGGTTTTATGATGTGAAGTGCCTCATAAGAGAGCATGCTGAGGCTGGAGAAGAGTGAGAGGACAGGACTATTCATGCCTTTCAGAGCAGAGTTTCTTAGCACCGCGGGACAGCCAGAAAGGTACCACTGGCATGGAAGGGAGTGGTAAAGTCCCAAAGCCTATCCTTTTTGGAACAAAATTCAGAATAGGGTAAGGTACTTAAGACATTAGTACAGAGGCCAGGAAACACATTTCTGATAATTGTCTCTGCTCACTGCAGACTTTGAATAAATTTTGGCTGTTTGAAATGAAAGGGTGTAATATTTCTCAGTAGTGCTGCTCTGACAATCCTGATTCGAATGCCAGTTTTTCCATCAAGCTGGATCTAGTTGGTCGGACTCTTACTCTCCCTTAGTCTCATTTCCTCCTTTGTAATATAGGGAAGATGCATGCTTACATCACAAGCTTGTCACAAAGATAAAATAGCATTATCATGTGCATGGAAGCCTCTCAATCACTTTCAGCAGTATCTAGCAATTTCAAATGTTTATTATTCTGTTATAAAGCACAAATGAGTTCCCCAAAGAATTGGTTACTATATTTTTGTACATCTTGGTCCAGCAATATGATCTCAGTTGGTTCTTCTTTCCAAAAAATATGGGCAGTTATTGAAGTGACCTACATAAAGACTCTCTGGCTTCCATTTGAGAAAAGAATTTGACCAAAGCAGAATTTAAACCTTTCAACACAGTCCAAATCTATATGTACATATAAATTAATATTGTGAGCAGTAAAATAAGAAATCTGCCTCAGGGCGCCTGGGTGGCTCAGTGGGTTAAGCCACTGCCTTTGGCTCAGGTCATGATCTCGGGGTCCTGGGATCGAGTCCAGCATCGGGCTCTCTGCTCGGCAGGGAGCCTGCTTCTCTCTCTCTCTCTCTCTCTCTCTCTGCCTGCCTCTCCATCTACTTGTTATCTCTCTCTGTCAAATAAATAAATAAAATCTTAAAAAAAAGAAAAAGAAAAAAAGAAATCTGCATCAACTTGAAGCTAAAACTGTATTGCAAAAAAGACAACTCTGGAGATTGAAATGAAAATGTTCTGCTTGAAGCTAAAGGCAATAGAACTTCACTTTCCACTTTCATTTCTGGTATTCGGACACCATTAGGCATTTCCCTTCTTCCAGAGCTATAGTATTACCGGTATAGTTTTAATCACAATGTCAAAAAAATCCAGCATTTGCTCTGGTGCTAAAGACACTATTTCTCAACTGAGAATATCATGTGCTCAATTTATGAAATAGTTAACATAAACAAGATTGATTTAAAAACCAAACATTCTCCAGACAT